GTGGGTGGTGTAAGCCGGCAGCGTGTCGGAGCTTTCCTGCCGCGGCGGTGACGGGCGCGGGGAACGACCTCTTCTGCAGAGCCCTGCCCCGACATTGTTCCCGTGAGCACGGCTGGGCTGCCGTCTACAAATCTTCCCGAACTCCGTAAGCGGGGTGTCCCACGCAGCCTTCTCCCTCCTCTGGCGTTCGGTCCTCTCCCGTGCAGACCGTGGCTAGGCGCCCCTTCGCCGTGGCACAAGGAGATCGGCACAGAGGCCCGGGGGGAACCCGGTGTCTCTGCGTCCCCCAAGGAAAACGCTCGCACCTGGGCTCCATGTGCGACTTTGGCATTTCCCCCAGTCCCGCACCTCCCTCGAGGTCTTGGGCTTTGGCTGAGAGAGAGCCACCCCTGTAACTGTCTCCTTGCATCCTTCCTCCCCCCCTCAGGGGTGGACAAACACAAGAGAGCCCTTAGAAAGAAAGAAAAAGTTACGTTATCGTATATAATGGTGAAGAGGGCAGAGATACTGCTGCGACACTTCTTGCACTGGCTATCTAGATACATCCAGTTGTCTTGATACCTTATAAATTCTTAGCTGTCTATAGATAAATAAAGATACATAATCAGGCAAAAAGTTACTCCAAACACATGCCATCATTGATGAGCAAGGACTGTGCTGAGGAGACAGCTGAGTTATTTTCTGTGGAATAGGAAAAGTACACTGCAGACAGATGGGCTAAAGAAAGAGTAATCCTAGAACACTTCTTAAGGCTGAAAATATTCCCAAAGTGTTCTTAATCCAATCACAAGCCTCCCGAAGCCTGCTTCCCTCCCATCCCCAAAAGCAACCAGCTATGGAAGATGGACACAGTCCACCTGTTAAATCTCATAGCTATCAGGAAAGTCTTGTAGTCCCAACTATACTTTGTCAAATGTTCAGTTCCCATCACACCGTGAAGAAATCCGCAGGGCCCTACATCCATTCTGTACATCAAAAGATTAAGCTGCTGTACGAGATCAGGATTCCAAGCGCAGATTTTAAAGTCTATAGTTTAAAGCACAGCAGCAAGTAACTTTTATAACATCCCTTCATCTCTTTGAAGCATATTCCTGTATCCATTTCTCTGGAAGAATGTAGTACATGCAATTGCTAAAACCCTGTAGCTCCAAAACTGCCATCTCCACAGATTCATCTTATAAGGGCTATTAATAGTTCCATTAGTCTTCCCTTGAGTAGTTCTAGTAACAATACCATAGTCGATAGATTTTTTACATACAGCCATAAGCAAATAATCTTCACATGGGAGCAATGCTCATAAACTCACTGTTTGAAAGCTGTTCCGGACAAGAAAGGTCTTGGCGCTTGCACTGTGCCCAGCACAACAGAGTTTGGGTCTTCCTAGGGATGTCTGCCTACAGATTCACTATCACAACAAGAATTACCATCGGAGATCTGAACAGCTATGGGTCTTTCATTTATTTGAAACTGTCTTGATTCCCTCCTTAACCAAAAGTTCTTAGATTATAACCCAGTATGATATTTCTGATGGCAGCTCTGGGGATACAAACCTGTCTAGGCTAATCCAAAAACTTGTTCTTACATCATTTATATCCAGAGTACCTTAACCCAGGTAAGCAACACGACATCCAGAACCCAGGAAGCCCGACTTCCTCAAGTGGCTGGTGGAAGCTGAGAAGCCAGAAACAGCTCTTGGTTTTGTTCCAGATTCCTTCCCAAAAGAGATGCGGTAAGCGTTCCTTCCACTGTTCCAATCCGTTCTCTGACAGTATGGATTATTGCTCCATCCAGTGCAAACACCAGTGAATATAACTGTATAATTAATTGAAGAGAATACTGCAAAGTTACTGGAGTAGAGATAACCTATTTTCCACCAGCTTTGGTCTGAGATTTAAGCTTTGATCTATCAACAGAAGTATTAATTGCCACTGCTCTTATTTTTTTTTTCTGGAAGCATTCATAATAGGGTAGGAAATCTATAAACATAAAATAAGGGCTGGTTTCCACTCTCCATGAGCCTACTTCCAAAGATGTTAGATGAACTTCCTACAGGATTAAGAAGAAGAGAATGAAAAATAAGATGGAGATTTTGCTGCCTAACCCAGAACACTTATAAAGAGGCCGTTTGTTATTCTGCAGTCAGTGTGATGGCTTATAGAGGGTTAATTGGCCTCTGTTCCAAGAAGGGATCTTTTTAAATTGTGCAGTCTAACGGCAGCAATGGTATTTTGCATCAGAACACAGAACTCCAGGTTGCAGCAAAGTATCTTTTAGAAAGACAGAAAATTACAGGTTAAATAGGCCTTGGAGATTATAAGTAGCAACAAGGAACCTCCTCCCCTTGCTCACTTCTTCATCTGCCTCCTTTCTCAAAAGCCTGTGGATGCAGAAGAACCACACCCTGTAAATCAACAGGCTCATGCTGTGCACCGTGACAGGGAGATGCCACCTATAGATAGCAACCTAACATAACCCATACATAACTATAACTAACTCCCACCTGGGGAAGTCTGGGAGCTCGGAAGGTCTCAACTGGTAGTGCCTTACAGGAGGAGAGAACATTTTTTTTTTTTTCTGAGCTGCTACGTTTCCCTGAAGGTCTGCAATGCAGTCTGTGTGATACGAAGTGTGTCACCGACTTTACAGTGCCTGCTCACCATGTACCTAAGAGTGCAAAGAGTCAGGGCATCCCTCCGTCCTGCTCAAGGGGGGTCCTGTTTTCTCCACCCTAGTTCTTGTGGAGTGCAAGCTGCTCAAAGGGGATACTGATAAGGCAAGTTTAAGGCCCTAGCTCAGGGGGTGCAGCAAGGGTTTGACTTTGAAAGAGGTCTCTGGCCAGGGATGGGATAGCAGAAGGTAAAATTCAGAAGAAATTTTTCTGCCCGTTTCCTCAGTTCTTCAAGGAGCTCACAGCTCTGCACTGCCTCAGAGAGCTCCTTAGAGGAACAGTCTTAGCCTACCTGTGCTAGAGGCTACCCTGTCTATAAGGGTCATATACTGGTTGTGTATTTCACTTCTGTGGCCAACCAGAGCAGCCAAAGATATTTACGTACTCAAAGGCTCAATGGTTACTCAAGGAGCTGGGAATCCTGATGCTCTGTTTCTAGAAAACCAATCCTCCCAGGAGAAGTACATTTTGCAAATATTGTCTATATTTGTGGGAAAAGTTAACTTTTGTTTTCCTTGGTTCTTTTTGAATGGACTCCCTCTGGTCTCTGGGGATACAAGAGAGAGAAGGAGAAGAGCAGGCACGGGAACTTCGAGTGCACCTATCAGATGGACCAGGGTGAATGGCTGCTCTTCCACTCGTTTCTTTTCATCCAAATGGTGGAACCAACAGCGGCTGCTGCTTCATAATCAGCAATCTGCAGATGGCCGGGAGAATGCTTTAGGGAGGCATGACTGCGACTGACAAACAAGACCCAGAAAAGACCGTTAAGGCTCACTCGCAGGCCTTGTCTGCACTGGGGAATTTTCTTCCCTCCTCCAAATTCCCACCATTGCTAATATGAATGCAGCTGCACAATTGTTAGGGATGTTGGGAGTCATAATATATGAGTTTTCATCTCGTCAGCCATTTGCAGCACTGTGTCAATTAACCCTCCTCAGAGCAGGGTTAACTGATACAGTGCTGAAAACGGCTGCTGGAGCCGAAAGCTGTCTATACTAAGGCTCCCATTGTTGCTAACCCTGGTGCAGCTGCAGTGGAATCAGCCCATGTGGGATTATTTTGGTAACAATTCTCCAACCTAAAAACAGCCTAAAAATGCAACATAGCCACCTTATGGGCCAAAACATGCTTCCGCTGCACCTCAACAGTTATGCACCAAGGCTG